GGGTTCTAAGCCTCACCTCTGTTGATCCCCAATTTCTCACCTGATGGCCCCCTGCGACTGTGCCTGTCTTAGGTTGTTCCTCCCTTGAGGAATCTTACCCGTCTCTGGCTAACCAGTCATCTTCCGGGGCCATACAGGGAAATGTAAAGTTGGTAAGTGAGAGAGAAGCCTTATTGTTTGAAAAGGTTAGTTTTTTACTTCTTTGCATATCTATGCCCTGTGGCTTCTATGCCCAGCATTTATGACCCCCATTTTTAAATTAAGAAACTGATAGACATGAACAAGAATATAACAATAATAGGCAATAAAAGCTTCCAATTGAATCTAGAAAGTTATTGGTGCATAATGTGAAAAAAAATTTTTTTTCCAAAGATGCTATAGACCTAAATCCCAGATCAATTACTTCAAACCAAGTGTCAGGCTGTTTTGAGTTGTTTCAATAAGGAGATGCCATTTGGAAGAGTAGCTACAATTACAGTAATTGCTTGTGCTTAAGATAATGCGCTGTCGTTCTCCAAGACCTGTGAGTCGTGGTGGCTAACCTGGGAAGTGAATGGGAATGAGGTGGGAACCATCACCCAGGCATTTATCAAGACTGATGGAGACACTTCTCAACCCTCCAGATTTATGCTGCTTTTGATGTATTATTTTATTACTGCACTTGGCATTTCCTGCCAGGATAGCCCTTAGTAAGCAAATGTGCCAATGTAGGAATTCTGTCAGTTGCTAAGATGACATATTTCACCCATTCACTTGGCAAGTAGGGTACGAAACCATAGGATGAATTCACAGTCCTACTAGCCCTGCCCAAAGGTGAACTTGGGTCAGAAGTTAATTCATTAATCACCTAACCCCTATAAGCTCAGAATGTTGATGGCAACCAGTGACATTCTGGATGCCAGAAATTAATGTTACCATGGAATAAGTGATAATCACTGAAAAGTTTGGGTACTTCTCTCCAGAGCAGTTATCCATAAAGGATCACAAGGCCTCTGGGGAAAGGCTGGGAGGAAGGTTTGCAAGAGTTAAGTACAGTGTTTCAGCAGCATCCTTTAAAAATATTTGAACTATGATCTGGAGGCTCTGGGTCTGGAATCTGATTTAGTTTGGGGACTAAGGTGAAAAGTCATGTGTCATGAGAGGCCTCTGTTCCTGAGACCTAGAATTATGTCTTGTTGGTTTGCTTTCGTTGCATAAATCAAAAAGACTTAGTGGGTTGTTCAGTCCTGGGGGATCCTACAATTAATAAACCACAAGAAAGCTCTGTGAGTCAGATCAATGTGTTTTCCACCCTACTGCCTATTATGGTGACCAGAGCACACTTCTCTTCTAGTAATTAAATGTCTCCACCTGGTCTCCTCCCATCCCTGCTTGCATCTGGGAGTGTAGTTCAATTGCAGCTGCTCCTATCAGCATTCCTGTCTTAGAAAACAGCTGGTACAGAGTTTTTGTAGGGTTTTTTTTAAGGCTTCTGAAGCTTAATATATGCCTCATGACAACAGTGAGAGAATCTTTTGAAAAAACATAGGGAGTGGGTGAGTTAGAAGCTCTTGATATAACTAAGCATTCCTGCCTCCCAAGGTTTTTTAACATTGTGCCCAATTTGGAGCCATTCAATGCCACTGTTCCATTCTATTTCCCACAGCAATTACTCCAAGCCTTTGCCATCCCAGTTATACTTCTAACCCACTGCTGCTTCACCACTAGAAAATGATTTTGCTCCAACTTTCAGCCCAGGCCTCTAAACTAGCCCCCTCACCTCCTTCCTCCTGGTCTTGGAAGGTGAGGGGTCATCCATCTTACCCATCCAACCTACTGTTGAGTCTATCTCCCCAGCAACTCTAGGACCATGACCTTGACCTTTTGTTATTATTACAGTCCTATATTCAACATCTTTTTATAGACTCCTTTCCTATAACATAAAGTTATTTTCTGGTCCTTTTATCAAACACACACAACACAGACATGCACAAACAGGAGGAAAGAGAAAAACTTTTGACCTATGTCTCTCTCTTGCCATTCCTTCATGAAAAATCCTTGCAAGAACAGTCCACACTCATCTTATCCCACTTTTTTGTCCACCATCCACTATTCAATCCAAAGCAATCAGGCTGCTACTCCAGATATTATTCTTAAGTTAACTTTTACCAAAATCAAGGACAAATCTTCTAATTGACAAACCTTAAAGGCTTTCCAATCTTTTCATCTTAGATGACCTCTGCTAGTTACTCTTGGTGTCCCCCTTCCTTTCTGAAAATTCTCTCCTTGGTGGGTTTCTATGCTGCTGCTGCTGCACTGGGCCTGGCTCCTAGTTTTCTGCTCTGTATCCTATTTCTGCTATTCCATTAAATGTCCATGGACCTCAGAGTCTGTCTTTGACCCTTCTCTTTTTATTCTTACCCCTCTTCCTGAGTAATCTTTTTCACTCCCATGGTTTCAGCTTTGGCTGATATCTTCTGAAAGTCTTATCCAAACAACAAATATCTTTTAGCTCCTTGTCTTGTCAATGGGTTTTGGCCCCGGGCAAGTTTGCTATGGATTCAGTGTGACCAAAGAAAATGACAGCAAAACATTCTTGGGATGAAAAGGTTACACCCAACTTTATTTCCAGGTGGCAGGTCAGTCACTAGAATCCCATTCACTCAGAGCGAGTCTGCAGGCAGCAAGCCAGTCTCTG